CCTATCAACTTATCAATCAATCTACCATTTTACCGGTCTATCAATGTACCTGTCAACCTATTTACCTATCGATTTGTTTATCAATACAACATTTTACCTGTCAACCAATTTACCTGCTTTCCAACTTATCTGTCATCCCGTTGTAAATGTCTACCAATTAACCTGTTCAATAATTTAGCTGTTTAATAATTTGTCTATTAATTTATCCATCAACCTGTTTATCGATCATTTTACCGACCTACAAATTTACCTGTCATCCGTTCTGCATGTCTACCAATTAACCTGTTTATTTATCTACATATTCGTCTATCTACCAGTCATACTCTCTACCATTTTATATATCCTCCAATTTACCTGTCCATCAGTTTACCTTTATAAATTCTCTAATTCACCTTATTTATTTACGCATTATAAAAAAATTGATTCTACGTTTTAGTTAGAAAACGTTTGTATGTGGAAAAGAAAAGAGCTGTTTTTAGGGTTTTTCCGGCAATTATTCGATTTTTTCTTGTCGTAAAAACCACCCTTGGACTTCAGCAAACATTTCAAAAAAAGAATTGGCCAAATTGGTCCAGGCGCTGTTGAGTTATGCGCTTACCAATACATTTTGCGATTCATTTTTATATATGAGATTATGAAGATATAATTTTTAACTTTGCGTTGGGTAAGTTATAGTAATTGCAAAAGAATCGAAAATGTTTTTTTTATCTTCACGTTTCCAGGCCCTCTGAACATTTTGGTATACTTCAAAAAGTGTATGTGTGTATGTATGTATGTATGTTCGATTCCGATTAATACGAAGACGTCCTGATTAAATTTGTAGACAAATTCATGGCCGGTAATCACGGAACAAACATCTGTAATCTCGTTTTTAGTTCCCTCTCCCTCGTTTGGGGCGCTGGTAGCGCTACAAAACGGGCTAAAGAAAATATTCGAGAATCTAATATGGCGGAATAATATTTTAGTGTCAAAGTGTCAAATGTTTGTTAAAAGTTTATATTAAATATCATGTCAAAGTGCGGTGTACAATAATGCGGAACATCAACAAATATGCGAAAAAGGTGTATTTCCTGCAGAAAATGACGTAATATGTAAAATGATTAGTAAAATAACTGGAGCCCGGGCTGAGCACTGATGGTGAGAACTAGGTGAATAAGTTTTATCAATATGTATACAACAAAATACTCGCATCTATTACTAGAACTTCTGATATAATTTGTTATTGTAGCTCAATAACTGAGACATTTAACAGTATCAATGCTAGGAATTTTAAGGTTATAAATACAAGACACCCGTCTTACTAAATCCCTTTCTGGAAGCTATGTTATTGAAAAATTATTCTTTTTATAACACTTTTTTGTATTGTTCTGGCAAAACTGAAGATGGAAAACCGTCCCTGAAAGGTGAGTTATTTAAAATTTTTCATACTACAAATTAAGTTCGTAGCAAATGATTCTAGATATTTTTTTTCAGCAGAGGTTCTTAACTCAAGATATAAGCACTGCAGAGACCAGATATGCAAAAAACAAAATTTATACCATATAACAAATGTGTTGAGAAAAGAAGTCAGAAGGATAAATATACAAAAAAATATTGAGGCAGAAGTTACAAGAAAGTGTCAAATGTGCTGACAATTTTGCTTATCTCCCAGCAACATTAAATAAGAGGGCTCGTAATTTTATATTAAGTCAACTAAGAGAACATACAAAGAAGCGAAAAGGAAGAAAATTTACACTTGATGATAAAATTCTTGCTTTAACTCTGCATACAATTTCTCTAAGAGGTTATTACTTTTGGAGAAAAATATTTGTTTTGCCTGCTCCTCAAACATTGAGAAATTTGCTCTCAGCAATTCCTTTGTATAGTGGTATTAATGAGACCCTTTTCCAAACATTGGGTTTAGCTATGGCACAGAAAAAATATGTGAATAGCAAAAACTGTATTCTGATGTTTGATGAAATATCATTATCATCTGCATTCTTGAACGACTGTAAAAACGATCATATTGTTGGTTTTCAGGAACTGGCAAATGGTAGAGAAAGTTTATTTTCTGATAATGCTCTTGTCTTTTTCAAATCAAATAGTTGATACTTGAACTGTACGCAATGTTCATATTTTTTGTGATTGTTTAATGAATGTGTTTTTTTTTTATAAATCTACTAGCAAACCCGACGAACTCCGTTTCGCCACCAGATGGTTTCGTGAGAAAGATGAAGAAATTTTTTGTTTGTTTTATATTTGAAAAGGAAAAATTTGATTTTATTGTACAACAGTAACGAATTTATTTTGATTACAAAAATGAGTTGAAGTTCTCTAAGTAAAAGAAAGTGAATCTGCAAATTATATGTTTTATTGAAGAGCCTTTTGGTAAACAACATTTTTTGTTTTTTGGCCTAACACAAACAAAGCGGATGGTTTCCCAACTCGTGAACAGGCAACGTACAACTGGCCATGCGAAAAACAATGATTTTCTAAATTTATACCGCAAACACTAAGCGATTGACCTTGCGACTTGTTAATTGACATTGCAAACGCAAGGCGAACTGGAAATTGTAATCGTTTGAAGTCAAACGGAAGACCAGTCGGAATCATTGGTATTCGAGGAATATATACATTTTCAGCTGCGTACTTTCCGTTAATAATGGTTGCCTCAATCAAATTCGGCATAAGTTTTCTTACTGAAAGTCGAGTACCGTTGCAAAGTTGCGGTGGATTCAAATTACGCAATGTCATTATAACAGTGCCAACTTTGAGTTGCAAGTTATGTGGTGGAAATCCTGGTAACTCCAGAGAGTTCAAAAACTCCGTTGGATAATTTACTACATCATCGGGATTTGTTATGGAATCAATGGATTTGTATGTCACCAAATCGCCAGCAATTTTTGACTGAATGGCGAAATTCAATGCGTGCACATCATTATTTTTTGCGGCAAGAATTGCTCGTTGACTTAACCAAGCATAATTCTGATAATTTTCGCTAATGTTTGGGAAAACATTTTCAATAAGTTCTAATTGAGAGTCTACAAATCGGCAAAAGTCATTGGTAAGAGTAATTAATCCAGATGTCGCATCACCTGGGACTTTCCCATTTCCAACAGCTAACAATTGTTTGGAAAACTGTGCAGCACTTTGATCATTTTGAAGTTGAACTCTCATATTAGTGGTTAGCGATAATGTTTTTACGTTATTCCATAACGGTGATGCTTTCAGGCAAGCATTCAATTCATCTGTAGGCGTTCCACGGGGAATTACTGGCAACGTCTGCCTGAAATCGCCTGCCAACAATATCATCAAGCCGCCAAAGATGTTGTTATTTCGCCGAAGATCTTTTAGTGTAAAGTTAAGTGCTTCAAGTGATTTCTTGTGCGCCATTGTGCACTCATCCCAAACAATGAGCTTGCATTGCGTCAACAATTTTCCCATTGCACTGGATCGGGAAATATTGCATGTTGGAGTATCAATTGTGTTTAAATTGAGTGGCAACTTAAGTGCAGAATGTGCAGTACGACCTCCATCTAGAAGAGTCGCTGCAATTCCCGATGATGCTAACGCTAAAGCTATGTCACATCTTGATCGAATAGTGGCCAAAATCAATGAAATGTCAAATGTTTTCCCTGTTCCTCCAGGTGCGTCCAGGAAGAATAGACCACCAGTATTATTGGCCACCGCTTGCATTAATGTTTCGTATACTTGTTTTTGCTGTTCATTCAGCAACGGCACATTAATTCGAACGAATTCTTGCAATGTATCAACATTGTATTGCAGCTCTCGATTTAATTCTTGGTTGAATGCATCGTGCATCGATCGATTTGGCGCAATCATTCCTACTTCAATTAGTAGCTTGTTTGCAATAGTCAAGCATTGATCCTCAATCAGAATCAATCCTTCATTGTAGATTTCATCGGTTATTTGGATATCAGGATTGTTAGTTTGAATGCGCAAGCGATGCAAGATATCTTCACATATGTCGTCTTTGTATTTGTTCCATAATTGTATTGGTTGTGAAGGAAAGCATGTGGTGATGATAATTGCGAACAGCGTTCGTATTTGGTACGCATTTGATGAAACAACTGAATCCGCAAGTGTTAGATCCCAATGAGAATCGTTCTCCAGCAAACCCAATAGTTGACATGCTTCTCGATATGTTTGACATCGGTGGCCATTCACAGTTTTCAAATGCACAAATGATTTTGGTCCACGCACATTTACCAACAGAAGTCGCAAATAAAAACATTCATCACTTCTAGGATGAACAGTATATATGCGACCAAGTGCATCCGTGGAAAACACATGTGGCCAATCTGGAATTGGGATTCCTTGTTTGCGGCGTTGGAAATTCTTTGTTGATTGATTCCAAGTGTAATACTTAGGCATATCAACGTACATCAGCGTCGCTGCGAATGGATCTGCTTCACACATAGCAAAGAAGCTAGTCAATGTTGTCGATGGTGGTCTCTCAGCTCGCTGTGCCGCATTAGCCTCAGTGAAGTAAACTCTTTGGCCGTTTTCCAAATGCACTGCTAAATGCATAACTGTGGGATATTTTTCATGAATTTGAAATGACAATAATCGCCACAGTGCTTCATTACTACTGACGTATCTGCCAATTTGGAAGCTGCTAATTTCGTCATTCGCATTTTCCGACGCAATACCAAACACAGTCATGTCGGTGCCTTTTGTGACGTACTTGCACAAATATTTGATTGATTTGGCCGAATGACAACTTTCAACGTTTGCATGTGTTCTGAAAATTCGAGATAGCAGCGGGCAATATGGTACAATAAATTCATTTCCGATCTCAATCTCTTGATTTTGAACTTTAACTTTGATAGTTCGACCATTTTCTTCTTTTGAACGCCGACGATAAACTGGATATCCATCGTTCCCTGTGAATGTATCAGCAACTAACGGTCGCGGATATCGTTTTGTGCACTTTCCATTAGCCATGCAAGGCGATAATGGATTTAATGCACCGCACGGTCCATGCACCATCTGTGTCGTCACAATATCGTGTAGATGGGGTCAGTGACTGGATCAGGAATTTCAGCTGATATGATGTCATCCACTTCATTTGAATGTAATTTATTCAGCAACCAAATTAGGATATGAGCATGCGGTAGTCCACGCTTCTGCCATTCCACCGAGTACATATAACAACGTGTGTCACCAAAAACTCGATACTTTGTGAGCACATCCATCATAACCTTGAGTTTTTGCTGAAATACTCTGGCTATTATGTCATGGCGATCTTGCGGTTTTTGGCCTATTTCCAACTCACGTTCAATTTCCGTCCACTTCGGATTGCAAGTGAACGTAATAAATAAATCCGGAGTTCCATAATGTCGCACGTACGTCATAGCGTCTTGAGCGTATTCGTGCATGTGGCGTGGACTTCCGGTATAAGATGATGGGAGAATCGTGAGACGTCCAATATTCTGAACATCACCATCTGAATGAATAGCATCTCGCAAGTGTATATAGTCCTCAGATCGTAGCTTTGCCTGATTGAATCGAATGAACGCTAAACGTTCGGTCTCGACTTTGACATACATGTCGACAGCGAATTGCTGGAATAGCCGACGGCACTTCAGAATGACATTCTCCTCATGTGAACGAATCATCATACGATATGCATAGTATTTCATAGCGCTTAGATTTTTATTCGTTGATAAGCCTGAAAATGCAAAATGGAATGAATTGTTAATGGAAACAAATAATAGCAATAATAAAAATAATTAGTGTGTTAATATTGCACCTGTAATTGGATCGACCATCTTCAACGTGATGTCGTAACCGTCTTGCCCTTGCCAATAAATGATTGGATATTGTAACGCGTCGTACAAACGATGTGTCTCGTTTACGCGATGCATGATATTGCTTCTTCGCTGAACGACAATGTCTCGCGATTTAGTTGGATCGCCAACAATAATTGCAGCAACATCATTAACGGTGGGTGCATTGAATCTTTGCACATGTTCACCTCTTGGGGTACAATCCGCTCTTATGATAAATTTGTGCGTATCTGATGGCATTCGTTCCAATGCTGTTTTGAACATGTTAACCACAGCATTATTAGCGTGAAAAAATGATTGCAACTGTTCAATAACTCGTCTCTTTAACTCTTCCTGCATATTGCACCGCACATTCAGCTGATCCACCATCGACGAAATTAAATATATTTGCAGAAATTGGTGCTGTTCATTTGGTGTTGGCACCATTGAACCATGCAAATGGTATATTTGTCCTTGTATCTGTAATTGCAAACAATCATTAGTTGAAGAATACGGTGTAACTTCTGATCGTGTGATGGTGTAGTGTGTGGTGTGCAATTCATTGTGTTGGTGTGAGTAATTGGTTATGTGCGTTGTATCTTTTACCTTGCAAGTCGGCATGAAGCCGCCTTCTTGAATGATATTAGCTCCAAAGGAAGTCATGCGAAAGCAGTTATTGTATTGAAGGATGTGTTGAAGAAAATGGCTGGAATCGGGGTCACTTCCATCAAACAATGATTTCAGTGGCACTGGTGGTGCAAGTAATGGATCCAGTTTTACTTTTCCACTTGCGCAGCACAATCCAGCCGTTTCTCTTTTGAACTTTAACGCATTGCAATATCGGCATATAGTCGTCATTGGTCCAATATCGAAATTTTTATTATCACTGTAGTTTGCAGTGGGATCATACTGGAATGCCAAGCGATTGTATGATGTCAATGATCTACGTGTACTGATGCGTTGTCTTAACCGGGCATTTTGTCTTATTATATTTTGTCTGCCTTCGCTTAAGTTTAGTAAATACACTTGCTGCTGGCTTGCATGTCTTGTGCGGCGACCGATATTCGCACGTCGTCCTATAGGCATTTCAGACTATGGACAGAGTGGTGAATTTAAACTCAAATGCACTATCCACATAATTTACACAGTTTAACTTACCACCTTAAAGACAAACGCCTGCTTTAAAGACAAAAATTTGCACAAAACACGTGATATACGGAAAAGAATAACTTATTTAACTTTTTTGCACAATTTCACTGTAAACACAATGCCGGTTTGTCACCTGAATTTAACTGAACGGTGAACATTGAGATGTCAAACAATATATCTACCTGCGCCATCTACCGACTGCGGTTTGGTTTGTAGTACATGCTAAGTTTTAGAGATGACGCCGCATGTAAAAAAAGAAAATATGTTTTCCGCTTTTCTGTTGAATTTTTTTTTAAATTTTCTTAGCTATAAACCTTGCGGAGCCCGAGACCTTTCCAACGAATGTAAAATTGTCGAAATCGGTTCGCGCGTTCTGGAGTTATTTCGTCAGGAAGGAAAACCCGACTTATTTTTATATATATAGAAGATAGTAATAAATAATGAAGTTGTTAAATGTTTTAGCAAATGTAGAAATCGTAAATAAGTGGCTACTTCATGGAGTATATTTTGCTAAACAGTTTATTTCTGTTTATTATTGGTGATAATACATTTAACAGATGTCGAGAAGTATATAGATCATGAATTGTACAATAATTTACCGGATAACAGCAGAATAGTTTGCAAATGACATCCCCATATAGTAATTTATTTTAGTAAGCTGTTGATATGCTTTTCAGATAAAAGTAATTTTGGTTTTGTCCTTTAATTTATTGGCAAATGTGTTTGCATATAACTTTCTTGAACTTTTGCCAGTTACTGTTATGAGAACATAATGATTTCTTTTTCTTTGTGATAATGATGATAATGATATTTTGATCAACATTTAAAAGCAGATTAACGCAATGTGCAGAAAAGGTTTTCAGATAGAGACTATACATAGATTTAATGTAACTTATCATTATTTGATTGAGTACCAAGATGAATATAAACAGAGTTAATTTACAAGAATATCTTAGGCATAAATGTTATTCCTTATTTTCTTATGTTTCTCTTTTTTGATTGCAATATAAATTTATGACCTTTTTGAATTGTTGTTGCTGGGATTTTAAGTTAACTTTTGAGCGCATGAAGAGAGTTTTAGTAACTTCTATCTCTTTTGTTTGGTATTTATTATTCGGATCAATTCTCAATACTTTAGTTATATGGTATAGATAATGTCTAAATTATATTTAAATTTTCTAGCAATTTAGAAAAAAATATATAATTTAGATAGTTTTTTGACATGAAAACACACACACACACAGACACACATAATAGGAGTCTGTGCCTTAGGGCAGGTCTGTGAGCTAAAACTCAATTTCAATTCAGGGAAGAATAGTGTGTGATATGAAATGGCCATTTCATTTTGCAGTGCTGCAATTGGGCTATTTTTGAATACAAGAAAGCGAGGCTTGGACACACCACCCTGTCCACACAAGACATTGAACAACCATATGTACATATATATATTAGGGTGGTCCTTAAAATGGTCATAGATAAAAAACAATTCTCTAAAAGTTTTAGCTCTTAATATTAACGTTTAGATAGAGCGCAATTCAATCAAAGTTTTGTATGGAAATAGCATGGAAAAATTTTCAAAAATTTTAAAAATGTTTTTTAGGTGTAATTTAGCGAACAAATGAATGAATAAAGCTCATTCATTTGTCGCTAAGTTACACCTAAAACATGTTTTTTTAATTTTTAAATTTTTTTCCATGCTCTTTCCATACAAACTTTGATTGAATTGCGCTTTATCTAAACGTTAATATTAAGAGCTAAAACTTTCAGAGAATTGTTTTTTATCTATTTGGAACCATTTGAGCCCCTGGGAGCAAGGAAATTCGAAAATGACCATTTTAAGGACCACCCTAATATATATATATATATATATATATATATATATATATATATTTCTATGCCATTTGTACATAGTGTATAAAGCTTAGTAGCATCTATTGTAATCATATATGATATATATATATATATATATATATATATATATATATATATATATATATTAGTGATGTGCCAAGTCGAATCAAGTGATTCGAATCATTCGAATCAAGCCTTTAACGACTTGATTCGAATCAGATTTTACTTGATTCGAATCAACTCGTATCAAGCCGCGAAATATTTACTGTGATAAAACATGTGTGAACACAAATTTTCATAAATATAAAAAAATGTTTTAATTTAATTCAATATTATAATAATATAAATAATAATAATAATAAATATAAAAAATAATAATAATAAATATAAAAAATAAATCTTGAATTAAATCATGCGAGTCACCCGGCTTTAATACGCTTAAATGTATCACCCGACTCCAATTTATATGACTTTAACCGCATTCATTGTCTAACAATACCATCCGAGTTCCTATGACTCAAACCGACTTATCCCGACTTCAAGTCGTTATGAATTGATTCGAGTTCCTATGACTCAAACCAACTCATCCCGATTTCAAGTCGATATGAATTGATTCGAGTTCCTATGACTCAAACCGACTTGAAGTCGATATGAATTGATTCGAGTTCCTATGACTCAAACCGACTTATCCCGACTTCAAGTCGTTATGAATTTATCCGAGTTCATATGGCTCAAACTGAATCATACCGACTTGAGTTCGAAACATGTGTCCGCGTTTCAGCGTATCGACTTATCGAGATGCTGTGCGTATGGGTCTTGAGTGTTTGTTTATTTTTGACTAAGCGCTGAGAGCAAATTTGTTCATGAAATATCAAAAACTCATTTAGATAATAAATACGCGATTTAAATTTTAATTATTATCAAAATAAACTACACAACGAGTTTTATACACATACAAAATTATCATATTTTAATTATGCAAGTAATGGCAAATTCACACAAATGAAATAATATCAATCTTTACAGTAGAGTGAGTAGAGGATTGAATTTTAAATCATTCGTAAGACGTTAGATTCAGCCCCCTGTTTAATTAGATCTAAACAATCAATAATATACACATGCATTCTTTCAACGTAAGATTAAGAATATTGTTTTGTATGCTTTAGTGATAGAGAAGTGTTTGGTTATATTTTACTGTAAATTCACTTGAAATATTAGTTATATTTGTAGCTAGTATATATATATATATATATATATATATATATAATATAAATGTATTCATCTCTGCACTTTTTGGAACTAATTGCTTACTAAATTAATTATTTCACTTATAAAATTATTAAAATGATATTATTTCTTCTCTTAAATTATATTAGATTGTCAAATATCTCCCTTCCGCCTTTTTGTATTATAAACAAATAGCAAAAAAGCGGAAGGGAGATATTTGACAACCTAATAATTGCTCATATATGAACTTGATTCGAATTGATTCGAATCATGATTCGAATCAGGTTTTTTTCTGATTCGAATCACTCGAATCAGGAAATTTTCGAGTCGGCACATCACTAATATATATATATATATATATATATATATATAAAGCGAGAGGTTTTTCTTCAGATGGTGAAATAATATAATAAAATTGTTTCTTGGGCATCCATCCAGTAATTAATTTCTTTTAATTAATTAATTTCTTTTAATTTCACCAATCCAAGAGTTATTCATCGTGAATCTAACATTTTACGCAGGAAGTTCGCTGAGAGTATTTTCATACAAATATTACCTTCTATTAACAAACGATTTGATTCGGCTTCTCTTTGCAATATTTACCGCGATGCTTCAAATAATTTTTTCAATATGCGCAATACATCCTAACATTTCTTTTATGTATTCTACATATTCTTTTGTGTATGCATATATGTGTATGTGTATGTGTATACATATATTACATTTATTGTTTTGCGTTTATATATACATATATATGTTATGTTATAATTTTTTATGTAACTTTTATCGTTCCATAACTATTATCGTTTTTCTGTTAATATCTATACTTTTTCCTAATAATTTTTTCTTCATCACATATTTTTGGGATTTGATTATGGATGTCTTGCACATGTATAAATTTTTTACTATGTTCCTACTGCGCATGATCGTTGAGAAAATCTTCGTAATATGGAACCACCAAAATTCTCTCTATCCCGTTCTCTCACCAATGACGATACAGTTTCCAGCATTTTCCGCAAACACGTTCGCACACATTTTACTCTCGTACACACTCGTAATACAACTTCCAAACTAACAACATGTTCGTTTTGGAATAAGCTTTTTTATAATAAAATATATCATTCATTTTAATTTTACAATTTTTTTAAAAATTTTCATAACTCGACGTTTCATCAATTTTTTATTTCACTTTTATTTATTTTTCGTTGCAATTTTGTGTTTTTGTGTTGTTTTTCAAAGTTTATTTGTATGGTGAGTTTCTTTACATTGTTTATTTTATGGTTGTTTTTGTCTGTTAATTATGTATTTTTTTAAATTTTTTTTTTTTTTTTTTTTTTAAATTGTTTTTAATTTGTAACCCTGAATTATTTAATTGTAGCACTGAAGATGGGTCAAATCCAGACCCGAAACGTATGTTCTCTATAAATAAAAACATTTTTCATTAAAACTGTTTTTTAATTACTGGATGGATGCCCAAGAAACAATTTTATTATATATATATATATATATATATATATATATATATATATATATATTCACATACACAGTGGATAATATATACTAGTGATGTGCCGACTCGAAAAATTCCTGATTCGAATGATTCGAATCAGAAAAAAACCTGATTCGAATCATGATTCGAATCAACTCGAATCAAGTATATATATGGACAAAAAAAATCATGGATGTATTAATTTAGTAAAAGTGATCCAAATTTATAATCAAAATTGTTAGTTTAACCAATATAACCGACAAAGTAGAAATTGTAAACATAAATTACTATCAAAAAGTATATTCTGAAAATTATTAAAAATGATATAATTTTGAAGACGGCTGAAACATATCTTCAAATTAATTTACCA